AAAAAAAAAAAAAAAAAGAGTTTAATCCAAATTTATGTGTTTACCTTTGAAAGCAAGTTTCCCTTAGGATTTTTCACTCTTTGAACCGTGAATGGATAAAAGCACAAATGCACACTTGATTTACGAATCTAAATATGCGGCTGTGAAAGTCGAGGACAGACCCAGACTTGATCAGAAGACGTTATAAGTCTCAAAATCATCACAGAGAGACCGTTTTTAACTCTTAAAAACTGATTATAGAATTATAATAAAAATATGTCCCTTCAGCTTTCAAAAGTCTTAATAATGGATTGAACCCTAAGTTAGTCTTTGAACATCATAATATTAGCTGATGCTCAACTTATTATTCAACTTTTAATGAATATTTGATGTAATGCAGTGGAGTTTGCTGAACCAGCATCAAAAGCATTATGACTCCTAAATCTACATCTCAATGTGTGATGAATTACCCCATCTGCTGGCTTCAGCCAATCATACATCACCATGTAGCTGACACACATAATGATGGAGACCTCAGCCGCTGTTTCACTAACTCTTAGCTCACTGTTCGCTGCCCGAGCAGAAAGCCGGCTGGTCGTCCTGTCAAACGGCTCAGATATCTTCCTCAAATTCTCTCTTCACTTCAATTAATCTCTTTCAAGATTTTAAAACAGCTTTTGAGCCACACCCTTCTTCAATAAACACCTGCAATACCTCGACTACGTTTTCTATTTTACATACTTGCAACTGATTTACAACGGAGGATGAGCACATACTAGAGGAGGATAACAAAAGTACTCTCTTGGTTTCCCTGAAAGAAATTTTTAACGGTTGTTTCTGTGCAAAACTAACAAGAACTTCAAACATGGTCGACACTCCCTGTCTTGTCGTTATTTGTTTCTACTTCATTTTAGCCATGTTAGATCTGTCATGTGTATTAGTCACTGGTCTTGGTGTTGGGAAAGGGTGCAATGATGCAAAATAATAATAATTTTAATATTAAAATAATCAACAATTCCCCTCAAATTAATTTAAACTAAAGTAACAAGCCTGTTTTGAAAATGTAAGGAGTTGAAAGTACAGATATTTGGGTAAAAATGTACAGATACCTGAAATAAATACTAAGTATAGTACTTTGTTACTTTCCACCTCTGGGTAGTTAAATCTATAATAATGCACCATAATCTATAAACTCATATATTTTAACTATACTATGTAAAAGACTAATTTGTAAAGTAATCAGCAATTGTAGTTGTTAAATAAATATAAAGCTCTTGAGGTTTAATTGTTGAACTGTAAAGTTCATAGCTGTAAACACTCCAACTACCTTACCTAACTAAAGGTTATTTATGTTTACACTCAGGCTGCCCTGTTTTTATTATCTTGTGTTCATAGGGAACAACAGCTTTCAGTGAGATGCAAAAGAACAGGCAGACCCTTAAACACCCCATAAGTCACTTTTATTGTTTTGTTTGCTCTAGCAAGAGCTCATCCAGCCTCAGGGGAAGACATGAAGGCAAACTGAATGGCTGACTCGTCTGCATCACGAAGTCTAATGCAAAACCAGTTACAGCTGTTCATATCCAATCATATATAATGAGTTATTTTTCCATGGTAACAGTGTCCAACAATGTGGCAAGACCTTTTTGTCAAATCTAATTCACAATTATAATTATAGCCTGGAACTCAAAGCCTGGGGCACAGTGTGAATTTGGTGATAATTACTTGTGCAGGGGGTGAGAGGGCACAGGAAACAAGATGCCATTTATTATCTCATAATGCTGCGTTTTATGTGTCAAAGTTAGTGCTTTTACATCAGAGAATAACACTTTATGCAAATAAAAAAATTCTAAAATCCCACTGAATAACTCAACATCT